TCCCCCATCCCACCCCTATCTTATTCTTGCATTGGTTTCTTCCAACCACTCCTCTGATTTTCATAGAGATCCTGATAAATAACTCATTTCCCTAAAATCTAATCAGCTTGTCCCCTAAGTCATGTTGTGTGCCCAAGTAGAATGAGATGGACATACTCATCTGATTAATTGATGGTAGAATTTTTCTAAGCAGTGTTGTTTGATTACATGGCCACATCCTCATTGGTACTTTGAATTTCCATGTACACCTTGACTTGCCAACAAATTATTTTGTTCTTTGGGTCAAGACAGAATAACTAGTCACTTCTGCTTCTTTCCTTTCTTTCTGTGCCTTTACTTTCTCCAACCCCATTGTTCCCTCTCAAATTTGTGGCCCCTTTTTCTTTGATTGTTACTATTACTACACACAAATTGTTACATATACACAAATAAATAAACAAACAAAACCATATAAGTCCATTTAGTGTTGCTTACATGTATATGTTTTTAGGCTGACTGACTTCTTATTGCATAATCAATTGGGGGCTAATCCCTGAAGAATGGTAACTCTCCCATTGTCCTCATTCCTTAGTTGTCTATAGTTCTTTGTCTATGGATATGGATCTGGATCTGGTGGAAATTTCCCCCTTCCATGTATTGGTATTGTCCTTGTAATCTGGTTTCATTGAAACCTATCTTAAGGAAAGTTTCTATCTGTTTAACTAGACACAAATAAAATAAGTCCAACTGATATATCCTACTGTGTAGTGATAAGGAGCGGCGGGCTACATTCCTGGAATCCGGCCGCCCACCCACACTGATAGCTTTATACCCGAAATAATTACATGGAAACTGTATTCTTTTAAAGACCACTTGTCCCATTCGTTCTAACCTCCTATTGGCTAGCTTTTACATATGCTCTAACCCATTTCTAATAATCTGTGTAGCCCACGAGGTGGCTTATCAGGGAATATCTTAACCTGCGTCTGTCTGGAGTGGGAGAATCATGGCGACTCTGACTCGGCTTCTTTCTCCCAGCACTACTGTGTATTTGAAAACCATTTACACAGTTGTAGTGCTTTAGCTGTGGTAGAAGGTGAATTTCTTCTTGAATTTTAATTATATATAACTTATATAAATATATAAATAATTATATAATGAATATAAATATTTTTATATATTTATAATTATATATATCCACATTTAAATACAATATTCTGAGTTCTTTTAATGTTTTTCATATGTATTTGTGTTTAGGGCTTACCACTTGGGATTAGAGAACCTATCATGGGTTCTTGTCCATGGAGAAGACTAAATCTTCCTCTCTCAGAAGTCTTTGGTTGCCTATAGTTTTTAATCTAAGTATGGAGCCTTCTGAGATTTCCCCATGTTGTCATTGTGCTAATCTTACATAAAATGCTATCTCAAAGTAGAAATCCTGGTCCTCTGACTCTTACAATCTTTTTACCCCCTCTTCCATGATGTTAACTGAGCTTTTGTTGTAGGGTTGTATTTTAGATGTATTTTTTAGAGTTGGGCACTCCACAGTAAGTTTCTATCTGAATTTTGACCAATTGTAGATTTTTGTAACAGTCTGTGTTGAAGGGAACTTAAAGGAATGTAAGCAGGCGGGGGTGGGGTGGCAAAGGTAGGCTCCCTGGGATGGTGGCTTATTTTTCTCAGAAGATGCTGAGAAATATCTGGAATGCACAGGGGCATATATATAAGCAGGGCTAGTGGGGGAAAGGGAAGCACCAAGGGAGCAAATAAAATACCCAAGCCAGCACCTGTTTAACAGACTTCAAGCCTTAGGCTTCACCTATCCTAAAGGAATAAGGCTGTTCCTTTCCTTTTCTCCATGACTATAATTTGCTGTCTTTCCCTATTGTTCAGTTCTTTGTTCATGCAAGAGAGTTACATGCCAGTAATTCCATAGAAAATTGCCAACCACACCACTCCTAGTTATACATGGCACCCTTTTCTTTGCAGTTTTACATTAATTTATTTATTGTGCATATACAGGTAAAATGTGGGCCATAGAACCCATGTCAGAGGACAGCTTATAAGAGTCTGTTTTCTTCTACCAAGCAGGCTCTGAGGATTTAACTCAGGTCACCCAGCTTGGCAGCAAGGGCCTTTACCCATTGCATTATCTTGTCCTGAATTCTTATATTTTTTCCTTCACCCCTTAGGGCCACATTTTGCACCCTTCCTTTCAATCTTATTTATAAAATTTTTTCCTAGATTGTTTAGATCATGTGCTACTACTCAAAGGCCTGTTCTTATGACTGTTTCTGTCTTCATGACACACTAATTGTGTATGCAGGAAGTGACTTTCCAGTGTTCTTGGAGATATGCTGTGTTACTTGATCTCCATTTGGTAGTTTGTGGCAACCAGGATAGAAACCAAAGAAGCATTATTTGGCCTTTTCAGATAGCTGTGACCTGCCTCAAAACTGGTCTGTTGAATTTGGTGGCAGAAGGCATTTTCTCCTACATAATCCCAAAGCTCTGATTTCTCTGTCAGAGAAAATTATCTACTAATTAACAACTTCCAGTCCGCAACTAATCTAACCATTTCTAGACAGCAATTTCCCTTAGCCTTGATGCTTCCCCTACATTCCCATCTGCCAAGGCCATGCCTGCTTTCAGAAATGCTAATGGAAACCACTGTTCGCATACATAAAACCAGGTCCATTTCAGAGACAAGATGAGAGCAGAGGGTAGACTATGGATGCCAAGGTCCAGATATGCAGACGCTGATCCAGCAGCATCCCTGCAAGTGGTCCTCCACCAAAAGGGGGTGGCTTGTGAGGATGAGAACTCTGTAGAAGTTGGTCCCTGCATTCTCATCTGTGTCCCCGGGGAGCTGGTGCTATTTTGTGAGGTACCTGGAAGTTGGGGGTCGCCTCATTGCAATAGCCAGACTGGATTCCCCCTTCCACCTTTCACCAATTACATTCTGGTTAGGGGTGGGATGGGGACCACTTTGTGAGCTTTCAGGAAGAGAGATGGCCATGCCACACTTTCAGAGTAGAGGTGAGCCCTTCAGGAGGCAAGAAATGGGCCCTTTGAGGAGAAGCGGGCCCCTACTGAGGCGGCCCTTGCCTGTGAACATCCTAGACATAAGAAGGGCCACTTAAGCAAATAGGAACCATCTAGTTCTGTGAATGCTCTGCCTAGGCTCCACCTTCTGGAAGGCATTCGCTGAGGGAATGAGTGTCACTCATGCCTTTAATCCCAGCACTCGGGAGGCAGAGGCAGGCGGATCTCTGTGAGTTCGAGACCAGCCTGGTCTACAGAGCTAGTGCCAGGACAGGCTCCTGAGCCACAGAGAAACCCTGTCTCGAAAAACCAAATAAATAAATAAATAAATAAATAAAACTGCAGGGTGCAAGTAGAACCTGAGTGGACCATGGAAGGCTGGCTATGGTCAGAGGGTCCCCAGGAGCCTAGTAAAGTCAGTGTGGTGTGTGCTGCACCAAACAGGGTTGTACCGTGGAAATTAGCCCCTTAACCTCTCCCTAGACCATCAGCCTTCCCTCTCGGGGTGGACTTCTGAGGTCCAAGAGATGTGGACACACATTACTTCCTCGGGGAATATGGACGTGGGGTCTCAGAAGCCCAGATGAATTGAAATGGGGTCTCAGAAGCCCAGCTCAATGGACATTTCGTCTCAGAAGCCCAGCTGAATAGAAGTGGGGTCCCAGAAGCCCAGCTGGATGGACGTGGGGTCCCAGAAGACACATCTGAAGCACACAGGCCTAGAGTCAAGCTCGAGTGTATGTGTTCACAGTCTTCCATCCAAGTTGAGAGCAACTGTGGGAAGAAGTCCACTCAAGCTTCGGCAGCATCCACATCCGGGGACCTAGTGGGGCTCCGAGCCATTTTGTGAGGCTCCAGAAGGACCCAGCCAGGCTCGTCTTCCTACATCCGGGGACCTAGCAGGGCTCGGAGCCATCTTCCTTGGGGACCAGAAGGGTGTCGGCCACATTGTTCTCCAGGTATCCGGGCATTGAGGGTCTCACAGGCATTTTCTGAGGGCCCTGAAGGGTGTGAGGGATGGACGAGG